TGAAAATAAGTTAATTATAGGAGATAACAAGGAAATACCTGATTGCAGGAGATGAAAAACGAGGGCCAAAAGCAGGTCCACCAAAAGAAGAACCACTTCTAGGAATGAATTTTAAAATATAAATAGAAAATTTTAACTAGAAAAGAACAATTAAAAAAACCTTCGACGTGACCGAAGAAAATAAAAAAGAAAAGTTCAAGTGTGCAAAAGCAACCTGGAATCCCCAGCTCTAGGTCTCTTAGGATCAGCAAATCTAACCGTTAATGGCTGGTCACAGCCCTGAAATGGAAATATCATATGATATACCAACTGTCTATGAGACGGTAATTGAATGCAGATGAAAGGAACTTACACTCATGGTGTATGTTCCATTAAGCGCATTAATGGCTGCTTGTGCCATATCTCTCTGAGAAAATTTAACAAATCCGCATCCTTCAAACAAATGTATCATGAGTTACAAAATAAAACAAGAAAAAAAAGAGCATTCAAATCTTAAATGCCGCTTGTATAGGTAATATACCCCATACATCACCCGCCACACTAAGGTGATATAATGATAAGAAAGTCACTTTTTCACTCAAATCATGTACTAGCCGTATTCTGATTGGGGAAGATCCCATGGATATTCATAGGTGGTTAACTATCAAATAATTGATTGGTAGCTGAGACCAGCAAGCATGAAGGTACGTACCACGGCTCTGCTTCATTTCATCTCGCATCAGGTAAACATCTTCAACTCTACCATAAGGAGAGAAAATCTGTACAAGGTGAACCATTCTCTAAATCATTAAGATTGTCCTTCAGAGAGTGTTTAGCTAAACCAACATAATGTAAGAATTAACAAATAATGTTACAAAAATTACGATAAAATAAATAATCCTGAAAAAATGCGAAAGGATCATAAGCTAAAATGGCCCTTTTCCCAGCCTGAGTAGGCTCATTTGAAAAAAACTATAAAGATGGAATCAACATTTAAACAAAATGGTTCCCTCATCCCAAGGCTCTTAAAACGAATCTTATACACACATATGGGGATCAGGGATGTAATATAGTACTTGTACAAAGTTATTTTTTATTTGAACAGTGAAGACTGAAAACTAAAGATATCATTCAGCAACATAACATACTTCTTCAACTTCCTTCACAGTAGCTTGTTTATTCAATGACCCCACAAACAACTTGAACTCCGTTGTGCCTGCAATAAGGCCGTAAGACCAGAAAAAAAAATAAACGGGCTGCTAGTTCTCCAAATTGTATATAAATAAAATTTAACCTCCACGACTGCTCCTAGTAGCAACAAAAATAAAAATTCACGAACAAAATAAGAGTGCCAAAATTGCTACAGAGCAGGAATCATCAAAAAGTACCAAGACGTTCTCGCTCTCCATCAGCATATCTGACTTGGATAGGACCCATAGCCTGTGTGCCAGATAAATAAAATAAGGAATATAGGAGCCCAAAATATGAGTCATCAGCATAAGAAAACCAAACAGAAGATATACCCCAGGTAATGTATATTGATTATGCAGAGCCCTAATGGCCCTATCAGCCTCTTCAGAAGTAGCATACTTAATGAAACAGCATCCTGCGTAAGCAAAGTCGAAAGCCAGCCTTTGTCAAGATATTCCATCCTCACCCACACACACCCCAAAAAAAGAATAAAGAAAGAAACTTCCGGGCACAGACAAAGGCACAATTAATAAGGCTATGTTTGATTCGCCTTTGAGAAAAGCCACCCTCAGGAAAACTTTCCTCGATTACCAACCAAACACTAGTTTATGCTGCCCGATGCCTTACTCTACCAATACACATAGAAAACAATACAACACAACGAACCCCTCTTCCGCAAAAGACAACATTCTTTAACAACATCACCCTTAGAAACACAAAACACGACATCCAATATCCACACTGAAAACAAATAACATGCATTCAGCATCCAACATTACAATCATTCCTAGCCAGAAACCAAGAGAAGGCCAAAAAAATGTCAACATTCTACAATAAAACAATCTAAAGAGACTCTCGTCGTGCTCAGCCAGTTGATCACTAAACAATGGATACCACTCCCAGCTATAGGAAGAAACAATTAACATACAAAAAATCAAAAAGTAAATAAGTAATTAATAGGCAAAGAAAACTAATATTAAATCACAATCAAGTCTACTATCAGTTTGATGTCGATGCAAATGAGTCAATGCACCAGGTCTGCCACAAAACAATGAACCTGTCGAGGACAGGACAACCACAAGATATAGCTCTCATCATGGCACATTACCAAGTAGCTAACGGCAGTCTGACAAATAACATTTAAAAAGTAAATTAGCATCAATAGTCAATCACCACCATTATCGTCATAACCCATGAAATAGTTTCACGAATATTCCAAACTAAGATGGGATCTTTCAAATTTTTATGCCTGTAGATAGACATTGGGGGAAACTCAAACTAAGATGGGATCTTTCAATTTTTTATGCCTGTAGATAGACATTAGGGGGAAACCAATTCTTATAGTCCAAGGATGCTCTATGTAAGTGGGTAAATCACAAACCAGTACCTATAATAAAAGACAAGTGGCTAAATATGACACATCGATTACTGTATAGCAATATAAATACATTAAAGCCATAAATCCAACAAACATGAAATAGTTGAATAAAATCAATAAAGTTAACGTTGTACTCCTTGACAAAACCCACCACCATGAAAGCCAAAAGGAGCAACAAAGATGGCCAAACAATTCTAATTAGCTGGATTTTAAGCAGACTCTGACGAGCAAAAGTCATAGCAAAAATCTACTGAATGAAAAAGACACATTCACCAGAGGAACTCCAAAAGGCACAATCATAGCAAAAATCTGGTTAAAAAACATTCACCAACGGAGTTGTTTTAAATAGTAAATGAGAAGGAAAATTAACCTACAATTAAGATGCACCAAATATGGTTCCTACGCTCCAGAAGGAGGTAACAAACAAGGACACAATTGAGGCAACAATTGAAGAACAGCAACATGAATTAAAATGGCTGCCAGCAGGAGCCGGATATTAACCTGCTAGCAGCTATTACAATAAGAGGATCAATTTCCTTGAATGTAGATAAGACCGATAGATAAGTGCTTATCTAATCCAAATGACAAGCCAGGAACATAAACCAATGATAAATTACTGGACCCATTAATGCATCAGCCCCCCCAAAATGGAAACTATATCCAGAAAAGGATGGAGGAACTATGAATGCAATATATAAAATATGCCACGCATAGAACTGCAAATGTCTCAATCATAAACACCCTAAGAGAAAAACAAAATTATTATCATATCAGACTTGAAACTGACAAATGAAAACATAGGATAGTAACTTTAGGTTTCACAACCTACTCCCACCACCAAAATTCACCATCATCACATCACTAAATCGATATAATGGTAAAATGAAATGTAGAATAACAATTCCTTCAACATGTTCCATAAGATCCCACCCCTCTAATGGAGGAGTTTCTGTCACGCTAATGATCTCATCGTTTGAGGCTAAATCATTCCACACATTGCACTATTTTAGTTTGGTCACCAATCATGAAAACAATGTAACATCTTGGATAATAAAACATACAATTGCTGTGGAATCGCCGGCCTAACCACAGAAGATCAAACACCAACTAAGCCTGACAATGTGGTTATGCTGAACGTGCAAAACAAAAGGCTGCACATCTTAAGTCGATGTTTCATCAACACTTCCACCACAGTCACACACACAATCCCACGGCTAAACCTCCTATAAGCAATTTAAGTGAAGTAATATAACCTAGCAGTTAGGTGAAGTAATCGCCTATAACAATGCAAAGAATATATCATTTCACCACCAGAGCTCACACCAATTCAATCAACATAACCATCAAATTGCAGCAACAATCATGTGAGCACACGGCTTTGGAATCGGGTAAAGACGAAAGAAAATATTAGTTGAAAGAAACCAAAACCTGTTCTGATGGCGGATGTAAAAAATGCTAATAATAACCAAATATTATGAAATTTAAAAAGGTCATAATAGTCCACAAACGTCACAATCTACCAAAACCAATCCATCCACAAAATACATCTATCAAATTCGATACAAAGTGTGAAGCAAACTAATCGATCTTAATGCATACAGCTGCAAAATCCGAAATAACACCTACGTAGCATGGAAATGGATACCTGTCTCATTGAAGTCATTAAAGAATGGATCAAGAACTTCACCAATAAAATAAAGCAATCATCAGATAAGCCATAAAAGAAGATAAATCACACTTCATGAATGAACAAACTAATCTTTATCAGTTGTCTAGTTAGTAGTTAGTTCAAAACAAATCGGAATGTAACGGGCACAGTAGTCAAAACTAATATCTTCAGCAACACAACACTGAACACCATGTTCCGTCCACACCATTGATTGATCATGCCATCCTAATTATTGATTAACAACCAAAGTTGGTAGGCAACAGCACAAATACCACAACTACTACACCACAGCTCATAGCAGTAGGTCATAAGTTATGCAAACATCTCAAAAGGAATTTAAGTCCATGACAAAAATACATCACTATGACGCTCACAATCATGTCTATACACTTCCCAGGAAATCAATTCTCCATTAATTCAGCATACGCACAAAATAAACCAAAGAAGCCAACTGCTAGATATTAAAAGAAACATTAATAACGCCATCCTTACACAATAAAAAATTGCAAGCTCATCATGTGGATTCACTGATTAAAATGAGATTGACTACGTCTCTAGGCTCACGGTTTGTGAAGAATCAAGTCATTAAACCCATCCAAAAGACAAAAATAAGATAACTAATGACATCAAAAAATGAAAGAAGATAAAAATGAACAAAAGAACACAAAAGAAATTGACAAAAGGAGCATTATTGTTGTCTCCCTTGTTATACAACAACCGATTTCTCCCAAAAATAGAAAAGCGACGAAAACATTCTCCCAGACTGTTCATAGCTAAGAGAGAAACAAATGAAACTTCCTAATGCCTATACATGGGTTATTTTAATGTCTGATCTCGTCTTCCTCTTGGATGATGGAGTATGTACAGAAAAGAAGTTAAATGAAAACTGACGAGAGACCTAAGCCTATAGTGGCTTCCTTCAGACCCCCCAGACCTGAAAGGAGATTCACAGAAAATTCATAATTGTTTAGGACAAAGCATGTACACATACCTTGTTGCAGTCCAGTCCTCTTATCCTTGATCAGAGCAACTTCCAAAACACGTCCATGATTGTCAAAGAGAGGTTGAATCTAGAATCATAAAGCCAATCAAATTACAGTAATTGAAATCAGTCAAACCTAGCCAGATTACTAATGCATTGAATAAAATGAAATTTATGAATTGTATCTATCGTTACAGCGCGTGACTTCGACATTTTTGTGGATAAGAGACAGTGAGCAAGCTTGATAGTTGATATATCACGACAGAAGAAATGATTGTCAAAGCAACTAAAAATCCAATTAACTGAAATTTCTTCCCTCTCATAAGAACACTCTAGAAAATACAGTGGCAAGACTACGAAACTATTTAGTCTGAATCTTTAATCGATACAACAGAATTATCCACTGCTGAAAGAAATCCTCGGGAAACCATTGATAGATTGAATTCAAACATTGTTGAGAAAAGATTTCATCAATAAAACCAACTCACATCATTTTCAGTGGCTGTCCTAGGAACAGATCCAACAAAAAGTTTGGCAAAACTGGTTCCTTCTCTACCTGAAAAGGGTAAAAACTAGAAGACTGTGACACAGCAGAAAATAAATGGAAGTGTACAATGAGCAATAATATAGAAGTTACTATCAAATGAAGAGCATATATATAATGAAGTGGTGTCAAAAAAACCACCATTTACCGCTTATATGTCCTTCAGAATTCATTATACTTGCAATGATATTATAGAATAATATCTAGACTGAGAAATTAAATTAAACCTGATGAAGTTCCAGAAGAGGTTAAATGAAAGCCCATCTAATTTCAAATTTAATTTGCTTTATTCTAATTACTTATTGGTTTGTCCAAAATGTAAAGTGAACCACATAAAAAGCACTTCCAATGCTTGTATATTGTAGGTAAAAGCCATGTCTAGGACAATAAAAAGTATTAGCAGCCATTGCTCATCAGAAGAACACAGCAAAGCAAACATAAATATAGATCCCTAATTTTTAAGCTACAGCTACAATTTATCGAGGTACCTGGAGATCTTTCTCTTCCAGAAAAAGGATACCCTCGCTTCTGGCCCGTAAGAGGGGTCGGCTGCCCGTGGTACTCATCCAAATCAAACCTCCCACCATCATTGCCACGCATAGGCCGGAACCCTCCACCATCACTGCCAGGAACACCCATAGGCCGAAACCCTCCACCATCACCGCCAGGACCACCCATGGGCCGAAACCCTCTGCCATAACTGCTAGGACCATCCATGGGTTGAAAACCTCCCCCATCAATGCTTCCGCCACCCACCCGTGGAAACTCCACGCCGCCAGCTTTCGGCCGAAATCCTTCCCTGCCGCCTCCTCCAATTGGTTCAAACCCTCTTCCACCACCGCCACCTATTGGTCCATCAATCATCGGCTGAAACCCTCCAATTCCAGCACCAATCGGCCTCAAACCCCCTCCTCCGACGCCTCCGACGCCACCAAGCGGCGGAAGGCAGGTCTGCGGAGGACTATCAAACGCCCTCTGACTTTCCCTCCCACCACCGCCGCCTGAGAACCCTCCTCGGTTATTGTGAGGACTGTTGCGTCCTCCTCCGCCATCTCGAAAGTCATCCTGCCGATGGTGGCGGAACGGAGATCCGCCGTCCCGAGACAGCCGGCCGCTAGAATTGTAATGGCGTGTTTCTTCGCCACCGTTGCCGTATCTATCCCCGCCTCTATGCCTATCGAATTTATCCATGGAAAATACGAGGTTGAGTATAAACCCTAGAAAGAAAACCCTCTTTTCAGTGCAAATAATCGAAAGTAGAATATATGTCCGGCCGCGATGACGAAATTATTATTATTATTTTTTTTATTTTTTTATTTTTTTTTGGAGACGGGCGAAATCATTACTTTATGTAATAACTTACTAGTGCATGGTGCGTGGCCCGTGCGATGCACGGAAAAATAATATTACGATTGTATTATAAATTAAATATATAAATAACATTAATTATGATTTATTCATTATTTTTAAATTAAACTGGGTTGGACACAGTCCGATCGAATGGACCGAGAACCGGTTTATAACTAATCTAACTTGCTTGAATAAAATATTTGCTCTCGAATCCGTCAACACCAGTCGGTTGGATTGATAGGATCGATACGATTTTTTAAATAAATTTTGTTTCTCAAGACGTCTTTGAGCTGCTTTCGTCTTTCCGCCCTGTCGGCTGCTTCCCCGAGGCCCTCTGGTGCAGAACCCTTCCCTTGCTTACTGACTGGTACAAGATGGTGAAGAAGTTGGGTTTTGATGGCTTCCACATTGCTGATCCAATTGGCTATGCGGGAGGAGTCTGGTTGTGCTGGGCTGAAAACCAAAAGAAGAATGAGAAAGAGCTCGACTAAAATACGATCTTTCTCCGTCACCAATTCTGACTTTAAGGCCCGCTGCCAATGACTTGCAAGGCGAAACCAGCTTCAGGAATCCGCGTCGGCAACAATGTTGTCAACTCCTCTGATACCACACCTGCCAAGACCTTTTCTCGTCATTCGTTCTTGAGCTTCGACTTGCTGACTTGGTTCCTTAAAACCTATTTATCCGACTTGGTCTGCTAGGCTCTTTCTCTTCCTGTCTTCCTCGGCTGACAGAAAGAGCTGACAAATGGCTTGTTGTTGATCGTTGTGTTCTTCCTATTGGGATGATCGGACATGATTGACCTAAGTAAGTGGGCAAGTCTGGGACTTTCGGAAGGGGGAAAAAAATAGTCAGAGTTTAGATATCCCATTGCCTTTCATCGCTGCGTTCCGGTTAGTTCAGGCCGGTCGATAAAATCCTCCGAGTGATATTTAAAATTATTTTAAATAAAATTACATATTTAAATAAAATAGATATTTATAAATTATTTATCAATTAGTTTAAACATTTGAATTTATAAATTGTTTAGATATCTAAGTAACACATTTTAAATTTATTACAAAAAGTACTATATATATATTAAAATATTTATGTATTAAAATATGAACAAATCACAAATGATTTAATAAAATAGCTTCATCGTTTCGATGACAGTCCAGTTCAGAAAACCTTATATTTAATGTACATTAGTAAATGTTATAATAAACTAATATTTAATTCACATAAATATTAATAAAATGATATATAAATATTCATAAATCATTAAACATGTTGTCATAAAAGTATTGTTAATACGATTATTTGAAGTTTGGACTACATCACATTCACGTAATAAAATATTTTTAATATAAAATTTATATTTAGGTTCAATAATCGATTTGGTGTGGTCGAACTGATACATAAATTAGTCATCTAGGACCAACCAAGTTGTGTCAAGTTTTTTGACTATTTTGAATATCATCTAAAAGTAATTCAATCAACCTGTGCAGTACCCAAAATCAATCACCCGATTGATCCGAAGAAATTTTCTTATTTTCTTTAAATATATTTAATTTAATGAAATAAAAATATTTTATGATTCATATAATAAATGTTTACACCAAATGATAGTATATTAAGATTATACTACCTCCTATTCTTTTTAATTGTCATTTTGGCTTTATTAACTATTTACCAAATAAATGTCGTTTTGGATCTTTTGTGCACATTTTTTCATTATTACCCTCATTTAGCTAATAAATACACTATGTCTTTTCATATTCAATATTCATTTTTTCCCAAAACATCATTCTCTATCTTCATTAAAGAAGGTTATTATTGACAAAAAAAATATTCTTAATTACTGTGCAACTTCTTAAAACGACACTTATTATGAATAGGAGTGAGTAAATTATATATCTAAATATGAATTAATTATTTTTACTTTATGCATATTAATAAAAATAAACATAGTACTTTTTAAAAATTTAAGATTAATTGATTGATTATGCAATTTAAAGAATATTATTAGCGTTCAATATTTTTTTAAAGGCACTATAATAAAGACCGAGATTCTAAAACTTTTGTTATATTTTGAATTGAAATTTTATAAATATAGAGACTGAGATTTTAATGTTGTTCGTTGTTTCTAAGAAAAAAACAAAAACAAAAACAATCACACTTAATAAATCTTAGCCGGATTTTTTAAATAATAAAATGAACTAAAGCCCGAAATTTAAGGTAGCATGTAATGTTGTATGATTTTAAAGAAAAAAACTAAGAAAAATAATAAAACTTACTATTTATAAGCTGCATTAAATTCTGACCTATTTTGTTGCTACTATTTTTGGTAAATGATAATTCTTATTATGTATATATAGATTCACGAACGGCAAAATTGCACGTCAAGGCAAATTGTACCGGGCGAATTGCGCACGGATGTTTAATATCAACGATAAAATATATAAAATTATTAATATTCAATTTTGTATTTAAATAAAATAAAGATTTCTAAAATTGATGATGTCATCTCCAGTCGAGCCTACACAATATTCCCGGAGTTCGGACAATCATGAAAACTATAATCAAGAAAGAAGATGTCGATCCCCCAACAAGTCGACCTCGATCTCAACTATGAGGCACATATGTCGATCTCTCTCAAGAGGATGGTCATGCTCAGTCGATCTCATCTCATGTGAACTTAATCTCAAGTTAGTGTGAAAAGGGTTACACCTTGAACAAGTTATCACCGTCTTAAGAGATAAGTCACTTGTTCAACTTGTCAAAAACGTGTCACCATGTATCCAATAAGAAAACGTCATGCGTCCTGAATAAATAATATTTTAAAGATGTCTTCTTCTATAAAAGAAAGGGTCGGGAGTTCAGTTTACACATAAGTTTCACACCAAAAAATATACTATAAATAGATAGTCGAAGGCCTGTAGCATTTTCTTCCTTGTGAAGCTTTCCTTTTCCATTTTCAGCCCTTCAGAGGCTTGTGTGCAGAAGAGGTCAGGGAGCGGTCCAAACTATAAGCAATAAACTATCCGTGCAGACACCTTAATTCGTCGACAAATACGAGTTATACGTCCTTCTTTACTTTCCGTCGTAATCACCATAAAATCTACCCCAAAAAACTAAAATACCACATAATACAAAGGCATAGTCTCGATGGTTCCGTTGGCGGAAACACACATCAACAAGAGTGTATTCAATTGCAACTTTTCAAGACTTAAAAAAAAATATCTAAAACTATTAATTTAAGGGTGTATTCAATTGCAACTTTTCAATACTTATAAAATTCCGGTGTATTTAATTAAAATTTTTTTAGACTTTTAAAAAGTCTATCGATATTCAGTTGAGACTTTTAAATACTTTTTTATAAATCTCTAGAAGTCTCAAATATTCAATTGTATCTTTCTAATAGCATCTATAAGTCACACAATATGCAAAATACGAATACTTTATGAGACTTCTTAAATTAGAATACTTTTAGAGATTTTTTAAATAAAATTACGAAGACAAAATCCGAGTATACAATATCATCAAACTAGTGAGATTTTGATGGACCTACGTGACTCTTTAATCTCATATACTTTCATATTGAAATATTTTACTTATTTAACTTGGGACAAATTGTTTTTTCATCAAAACTGTTTAACGAGATTGTTTCTTTTATTTAATTTTTATTATGGTTTTTTTATTCTATGTTTACTTTTATTTTTTTTTCATTTGTTTGCTTATGAATTTAACTTTTAAAAAGTCAATTGTTTGTATAATTTGCACTTGGTGAGAGATTTACTTTCATCACTGTCTTTGACAATATTCATATATTGTCAAAATATATCTAAAATATTTTTCTAATACTACATGATGCAGAAAAAGTAAATAAATAAAGTTCAACAATAATCCCATAAATATGTCATTATCAGATTGATTACGAGTGTTATTCCATCTGATACAAGTAACTCTTGTTTGAGTTTGCGCTCCTTTATTGGACGAATATAAGGCTAAGATGGAGTTCGACTCGTTGAAACTCGTGAATGCTCAAATTGACTTGACTCATTTAATAAAACTAAAAACCCTAATCGATTTATTCGTGAAAACAAAATATTTTTGCAAATAAGTTCGACACGGTTGTGTATTTTATGAAAATAACATTACATAATTATAAAATGAGTGACTTGTGAAAAAACTTACTTTGGTTCGTTTAATAAATAAACTCGATTAGTTAGCTGATAGCTATGTTTGGTAAACCTAGTTGATAACTTATAAGTTATAAGTGAATTTCGAGATTTGTTCGCTAGTTATTTTCGTTATCTGCAAGTGTACGAAGTAGCTATAGCAAGCGGGGAGTAAGATCGTATTCCACATAGATTGTAGTCAAAATAATTAAATACTAAAATAATGACGATTAAATATTATTTAGACTAACGAATGTGGATGATGATTATAATCTAAGACTAATTTATCTAAAACAATATAAATAAAGCAAGATATAAAAGATAGATTCTAGGTTTATGTTTTCCTCGGAATTAAATTTATGAAACGTTTAAATTTATCCAAATCTTATTTAATTTTACCAGTCGTAGAGATATCGCTAAAATAATATAACTTTTTCTCTCGAACAAGCTAAATCGTAGATTAATTTTTATTTATCTCCTCTCGGTCTCAAGATAAACAATCAACTCCTAAATTCATAGGATTTTCAATCTATTGTAGGATCATATGAATCTCTCGGTCTCTGTATTCTATTGCGTCATAAACTTCCTAATTCTAGCAATCAATTATCTTTTCGCGGTCTCAAATCGATCGCAAATATGTATTCATAGAGTCATCTACTTATACAATAAGAATTAGCACAAGAAATTCATAAACGAATTATAAACTGAAATGGAAGAAATAAAAACTATATCATAAATCAATCTGAGTACTAAAATATTTTAGAATCTAAAAATCCTAGAAACATGGTCCCAAAATCAGGAAAGTAAATATAAAACATTGAGTTCGAAAGAGAAAGTAAAAAGAAAGAAAAAACATATTCAGCTTCATCGATCTCTTCTTCTCGACTTTCTTGCTCGTTTTGTGCATGTTTTTAGCATCTAAAAATCTGGAAAGATCCCCCAAAGAATTTTCATATTGTTTCTTCAATTACTGGGGTCGAGTTCTAGTTAAAATATGTCAAAAAAAATCTGTAAAAAATAGGAAGAATGCGTAAAACGAGTATAAGTTGTGTCCAGACCCACACGACCGTCTGGTATGTCACATTAGTCACACGAGTCATGTGAAAAAGTCGAGAGTTTGTTTTGTATCCATTCATCTCAACATGAGTCGCGTCAGAATATGCACGAGTCACACGACTCATGTTTAACTGAAACTCCGTTTTCAGGGCGGTGATTGGTACCTTCGTATTCTCCTGCATATTAGGCGACTCAAGGTGGTTGGAAAAGACTTCCATGAGGCCATTGGTGACACTTTTCTAACCAACTCCCGACAACAACTTTTCTCCAGCGTGACTTCAACTTTCAGGCGGCTTCTCCAGCGACCTAATGGCGGTGGAGGTCAGTGCGGGTATTAGGACAACAACGAGGTGGTCCGATGATGAATGGTGGCGAGGTGGTCCGGTCTCCAAGCTACTCCCATGCTAGCAAAACAAGAAGAATTTATGCAAATATGAAATTCCTATGTACACATCACTTAATGATTTTGGACCAACAACTATTGGGCTATGCTTTTTAACACTATGTATAGTATGTTTTTGGCCCATCAGATATATCATCTTTCCATTCGGGCTGCTTTTTAATTCTATTTGTGGGTCGTGTATTGGGTTTGTCCCAATCTAATGCCTATACACCGACTTCGATCGATTCTTGCTATTTTCGCCTCCAATAATTATGTAGGATCAATTTCCTATCAAAACTCAAAATAATACATCTCTTCATAGTTTATAAAATTATTTAAATAAATAATTAATTACATATTAAACTACAATAAAACGAGCACGAAAATCACTCTAAAATGCACATAAAAATGATGCACATCCTTCCCCAAACTTAATCCTTGTTCATCCCAAAGAATCTATATATATATAAAGAGGAGCAACACAATTAATAATATTATTTCACTTTCCCTCCAAAATCAGTTACAAAACATTTAACTTATTTATTTATTTTTTTTTCTTTACTCATCTCAATTGTTTAACGTTTTTTATTACCTCTTCCCCATCAATCACATTATGTAACAATCATTATTTGATCTGATATGGAATAATTCATATTTATTTTCTTTTCAAATTTTATTTATCTTTGATTACATAAAAATAGTTTTGTACAATAATTCAGACTCCAAAATGATGTAAAAATGCTCATTCTTCGATATGATATGACAGGATTCATGCCTATTTCCTTTTCACTTTACTTATTTGTTGAATGAATGTAACAAAATAATTATTTATATATGTATTATATATATATATATATATATATTTAAATTTTTTTATGCTTGAGTACGTAAAAATGATTCACACAATAATTCAGATTTCAAAATTACAAAATCGAATAATTAAGAAATAAAACTAAAAATATTCAGTCATCTATTTCAATATATATATATATAGGGGTTGGTTCAAATAAAAACTAGTCCTGGTGTGAGAACGTGAGAACCATATTTGATGCTATTTTTAATTGTGTATGATGTTATTTTTAATCTCACATGGTGCTATCATTTTTATAAATGCTAACATAAATTGTATTGTTATTTTTAATAAAATATATCCTGATTAAAAATAGCACCAAACACAATCAATCATAGCACCACGCACAATTAAAAATAGCAGTTCTCACACTAAGACTTGGTTCTCATTTGAACCACATCCTATATATATATATATGAGAGTGGTTCAAATAAAAACTAGTCATGTGTGAGAACCATATTTGATGCTATTTTTTATTGTGTATGTTGCTATTTTTAATATCACATGGTGCTATCATTTTCACAAATCCTAATATAAATTGTGTTGCTATTTTAAGAAAATAGAAATATATCCTGATTAAAAATAGCACCAAACACAATCAATCATAGCACCACGCACAATTAAAAATAGCAGTTCTCACACTAAGACTTGGTTCTCATTTGAACCACATCCTATATATATATATATGAGAGTGGTTCAAATAAAAACTAGTCATGTGTGAGAACCATATTTGATGCTATTTTTTATTGTGTATGTTGCTATTTTTAATATCACATGGTGCTATCATTTTCACAAATCCTAATATAAATTGTGTTGCTATTTTAAGAAAATAGATCCATGTTAAAAATTGCACTAAAACACAATCAATGATAGCATCACACAGTGACGGATCCAGGAAATTTATTTAGGGGGGTCCGATTTTAAATGTTAAATAACGAGCTTGTAGTTTAAGTCAAAACGCTCATTTCATATAAAATATATTTACTATAAGTATAAATATATAAATATAAATATCGATATGTGTACCTTCAAATTTTTAAAAATTTAGAATCCTATCACCCTCAATTTTTTTATTTTTTTTTATTTTTTTTATAAAAGTTAGATTTCAGGTATTTATAATTTAACTTCAATATCTATAGGTTGTGGAAAAATAAGTTTTTTGGTTGAAAGTTTTATTTAAATTGAACTTTTACAGCACATTGCATAATATTTTTATTGATAAAAGCATGCCATTTGAACAATTTTTAAGAAAAAAATAAATAAAGTTAAAAATATGTGATCACACAAAAAAAAAGTAAAATCAACATTAGAAAATATAACAATCCAACTAAATACTTGGTTTTATATCACTAAATCAATTTACAGTTAAAAGACTGAAAGAGTAAATCATTATAAATACTTCAAAAACTTATCTACAAATGTAAAATATAAAGATTGTTAATACATTTTTCAACAAATAAATAATATTATTAATTTAGAGTAAATTTACATAGAAAATAAATTTAGTTATTAATATGTTATAAATATTTCTTTTGTATTTTTATACATATTTTATAGTATTTTCTATATATATAATATATATATATATATATATAAATTTTAAAAAATGAGGGGGGTCCATGGCCCCCCCTGGGCCTCATCTGGCTTCGTCAATGGCACCACGTACAACTATAAATAGCGATTATCACGATTCTCACGCTAGGACTTGGTTCTCATTTAAATCACATCCTATAATATATATATATATATATATATATATATATCCACCTACAAGGAAAAACGATATATGTAATTGTATAAATCATTAATAATGATTTATATTTCAAACACCAATATATCTCATTATCATGTTGCCATATTCTAATTTTATATATTTTTTCTTATTCTTAATCCAAATGTTATGGTGCAACATTATGTTACTAATGTCATTTAACTAAAAAACATTACCTAATCAAGAGATATCAAATTTTTTATGGCGTTACATTAAAATATTATATATAAAATATAAATGTTGTATATAAAATATTTTTTTAATAATATTTAGAATTCTTTTCTTAATTAACATTTTTTCTTCAATTAAATTATGATTTAGTATTTTTGTTTTTCTTATTTTCTTATTTTCTTTTCTATGAACTTGTATCTGTGTAAATGCACAGGTTGATTACTAATATATATAATTACTGACTGATGCATTTAATAAAACATTTAATAAAACCTATTTTCATTTCCTTCCAAAAGGAGTAACATTTTTTTAATTAATTGCTCACTAATTGCTAAAACCGTTACACCTTAATATATATATTTTTATTATTTATTTTTTGGATCAATTACTAAATTAATTCTAAATTTGGTATCAAAATATTCAGATGTGTAACGGCTAATGTTGGAACTTAAAGTTGATTGACACATTCAGAGCTGTAACCGCTATATTTGGTTGCATTGTTGGAAGAAAAATATGATTGCCACATTTTTTTTTTTAAAAAAAAATCAGATACACCAATAACTTTTTTTTATTTATGTTAATTTTCTTAATATATTCCACAAATATATAAATTATTTTATTCATGTTACTAATGTAAATGTTGCATGGCTAAAATAAAATTTAAATCTCAATTAATTTTGAATGATAAAAATAACTTAAATTTCATTTAATAAAAATATGTAACTTTCAGTTACACAATTTATTATGACAAGTCTCATTTGGAATGTGCTCATTTCTGTAACGCCTTTTTATGTTTTAAAATACAAATATTTTTATTTTTATTTTGATACTCTATATTTTTTAGTACTATAATATAAATACATATTTTACAACTAATTAAGAATGACTACAGATATCTCTATTTTCTATTGCAGTCATACAATGATAAAATTTTTTTTCCAGATATTACAAAAATACATCAAATATTTTGAAAAATCGAATCCCAGAATCACGAGTCGAAGAAGTTTAACGATAATGTTTTGTTGTGATGAGGAATCTGATGGTAGGAAAACTACGAATGATGTATATAAAGAAGTGCTTAATAATATTTAGATTCACTTTTTAAATTATTTTTTTCTCATTTATTAAGTTATGATTTTTATTTTATTCTATATTTTTATTTACTTTCTCTTCTATCATATCATTTTTCGTGCAAATGCACGGAGTATAACTAGTGAAAAATAAAACCGTGCATGAAAAGTGATTCCAAACAATAAAAGCTTCAAGTTACTTAAATAATCAAGAGAAGTTCAAGTATTCTCAAATACATATACCTCAATTATTAACTTGATACAACTTTTAACCAATGAACACTCAAATAAGGTCAAATATATATGTATTCACTTAATATCTTGTGAAATATCATAAAAAAAAAGAATAGAAGGAAAAACGTTCAAGTTAGTTCAAATACAAAGTCAACCATAAGCTTCCAAATTGTCTAAACTCTACTTTAACTGAACTCCACTATCCTCAACCTCAATATTATCAATCTAATTAAATAATAACACTTATTCACTCTTACACATTATAACAACTTTAATTTATCATTTATTCACTCATATAATTTTAACTAACCATTAATTCAATCATCTATCTCTTATTTTTACATCAAATCAATTTTAATTATTTTATTCTAAATATTTTTAATATAAATTCAAAATTTTATTAACAACCAACCATAATTTTTTTGTCAAAGTTAATTTTATCAAATCAAAAAATTCAAATAAAATTAAAATATTTTATATCCAAACATCCCTCAAATACTCATTTATTAGTTTAAACCTACGCATCTCAAGGTCTAATTTAAATCACCAAAATGGATGTAACAAATATGATGTTGCACAACAAAATGATGTATCTCGTGGCTTCCAGGAATCACCTGTATACAGTACAATTGATTGACCAACAATAGTGGCTATTGATGTGCAGTTTGTCGGTTCCAATTTTTCTACATTTTATTATTTGTCCCTTCGAAATCAGCCTGCCGATGCCAGGTGTTATTCGGGTCAACCCGTATGGACCCGAGTACGACCCGATGCCCAAGAAAAGTTCACATTAACTGACACCTGTCAAACCCACACCGCGTGTTCAGCCCCATATAAATCGACCCGATCTCGATTTCTATCTCTTCTCTCTATCCTCGCCGCTGTCCACGGCCTTCCCGCCGCCGCAGCTGCCGACACCTCATTCCTCGGCCACCCCTCTTAGATCTGTTGTTGTGCTTAGTATCTTCTCGCCATCCAAATCTCGTGAGCTTTGTAGCATCGATTTTAGAAATCTCTTGGTTTGGTTCGTTGAATGCAATTTCCAACTCCGATCACCTGAATCTTCATTATTCCGCCGACTTCCACCAGCCTCCAGTGGATTATTTCAGTGGCTTATTGATAACCTTGAGCTTTGTGCGGATGTAAGACTCGGTACATATTCGATCTCTCTCATTTTTTATTTCTTTCGAAATATTTCGTGCGAGATTTTCCAAGCTGCAGTTTGTGAGTTTGGGTGAAAAGAGTCTTTACTCTCAATTATTTCAGCTACTGCCTGTAATCGCGCGCGCGCGCGCGTGTGTGTGTGTGTGTATGTGAGAGAGAGAGAGTACCCTTACTGACAATGTTGATCGCCTTATTTACTGGAAGACTGCCCAGTTCTGAGAATTTTTTGTTTCTTCTCTCTTCGTTGACTGCTTATTCTCAACAATCGAATTGGCATCTGTTTTTATTTCTCAATAATCAGTCGTCCTCTTTATTTTCCAATTTCATTGTTGATATGACTACATGTTGATTTCCCATCAAGTGACAGAGGACTGTTCCAAATATACTGATGATGATGTTTTCTGGTCTATTGCACACAGAGGACTGTTCCAAATATACTGATGATGATGTTTTCTGGTCTAATGCACACAGGTTTTGCTGAAGGCTGAAGAGTTTCATTTCTAATTTTGGTTTAGAATCTGAATCAGTGAACTGTGTTGAGAAAATTCTAGAATCAATACCAAAGGAAGTATATTATGGATCCTAGTCCAACGAAACAATAGGAAACTGTCATTGACATTGAAAGTTGTACTCAAACGGCAGGCCCAGAAGCGGACACTCCTTTACTTTCCGATAATATCTCTGGAAATATAGTTTCGGTTACCATTTGCGGTGTATCTATGAGCTTAGATGAAAATTCGAACGATACAAAGAATGTCAGCAAAGATAAAGCGAGCAGTAAGAACAATAATGAAAATAATAAGGAAAAGTGTAACTCGTTGACAGCCAAGAAGCCTCCTAAACCTCCACGCCCAGCAAAAGGATTGTCGTTGGATGCGGCTGACCGGAAGCTGATCAAGGAAATTTCTGAACTTGCAAGGATGAAACGTGCTAGGGCTGGGCGTACCAAGAAAATGAAAGCAGCAAAGGGAGACACATCCTTTTCGGTGTCGTTTGGCGCGAACTTGATTGCTGTGGTGTTCACTATTATCTTCTGCATTGTGGTCATTTTTCAAGGTACTCTTTGTCTGCTGGTTGAGATATATATTTTTTTTTAATCCTCATTTGCTGACTTGATAAACTTGGTGTTGATATTCATTCTGTACAAATTGTATGTGTTGAGAAAATTGCAATACACTCTCTGCACCTTGAGGTTCATTGTAATTATATAGAAGCACATTTATCTTTCTTATACTTTACAGTACATGTCTACAGAAAAGAGAATAAATACAGACCTTTAAGGGAATTGATTGTAACTTAGAAGATAGTTGTGTGTTTTTCTGTATTTAGTTGGATGGGCAACTAAAATGGATGGACCGATCCACTGTGAGACTAGATCTGAGTAATTCTTTCTAGTCAAAATGCTTCACAATTTTTTTGGTTGTGGTTGTATCTTGCTAGGTTGCCATTCTTCAGGAATTTCTCCTGGAAATATATCACCATTACCAGCTATGCCTGTCGAGGGTTCGCATAAGCCGACTGGCACTTTGGGTAATATTATTGTATCGAAAGACCAGCGGAATTTCTCCTCTAGTGGTGTACCATTAACCAGCGTTGAATCTCCACAGTAAGTTCCTTTTTGGTCTCTTTTTTGGTCTCTGTATAGGGTTAGGATCAATTACCTAAACTAAACCTCACATTCATCCTAATTGAAAAGAAAAGTCATCTATCTTTTGAAACCATTTATTACTCATCTAAGGTACTAAAAACATCTAATTGATATTTTGTATTTCTATTTAACAAGTACACCTTTGCCCGATTTAGAAAAGTATGTGTTGTTCTTACACATTAGGGGTATTTTTGTAATTAAGAAATAATATCGTCGTTTAGTCGTCATATGCGTCATTAATGATATATCATTTTCTTACAATGGTTGTTAAGATAACAAATCATGTTGCTCGTCTTTTGCAGCCTAGTGAATCCAGTTCCTGCTTAGGGTGGAATAGATGAACCAGAAAAAGATGTCCACTGATCAAATCGATTATTCTCTTGGGAAATAAATTTGATGATTTTGTATAGTTTATTGTAAATTCATGTACAAGGTTGTTTGTATCTGCGTTTTGAGTCCGAAGAGTGTGTGCAGGCTTCTTGACTCATGTCTTTTCATTGTGGAGCTTTGTTTTTTGCTGATCATTCCCAGCCGGAAATTTTGCATCTCTTGGCTACCTAAGACAGCTAGTATAATGGACCTCAATTCTTGGACACCCTTGATAGGAAGTGCCTACTTCCCTGGCTATAACAGGGTCCAAGAAGGAGGGTGCAATACCTATTAGGGTCCATACATTAAGGTCCATTATGCTCCCCCTCCTTTGAGCATTCACATTTAGGTTCCAATATTTGGTTATAATTTTGCTCACGTGATATATAAATTATTTTCATTAGCCTGGGCAAAAAAATTACTTATCATTTTAAAAATCAATTCTCCTTATATAAAAATGTTTATAATATTTTAATTCCTTGTATGAGGTGATTTAACCATGCAGGCTGATTCATTATATTTTATTCAACAAGAATGCATACTTATGCTATGAAACGTCATTTTTTTATGTTGATTTTGAAAGTGTGATTCAAGTTGAAAGTGTCATATTTATTTAAAAAGTATAATTCTCTAACCATTAGTTGTTAGATAATAGTCCTATTGTATGTATTTTCAGCCTCTAACATCAATAGGAAATACTTGTAGTTGTCTATTAAAAACGAGTCGAGCTTATATTACAATAGTAAGAACAAAAAAATAAAAAAATAAAATCTGATCTCATACTATAAAAATAAATAACAATATATATATAAAGAAATCAATATTTAATTCAAGAGGAAATACAAAATGTTTTTAACAGCTTTTTTTTTGTTATAATGAGCATTTAATTTAAGGAAATTAAATTTACTCTAATTTTAGTAATAGTAGGTGGGATCAATGACGGAGCCAAAGAAGGCCTAGCGGGGCCGTGGACCCCCCTCATTTCTTTAAAAGAATCAATATATATAATACTATAAATAAAATATATATAGAAAATCAAAAAATATTTACAAATATATTTACAATTATTTTTTTTTCTATTCTATTTTAATTTAAATTAAAAAAAATTATTTATTTATTGAAGAATGTACTAACAATACTTATATTTTATATTTCTAGGTAAATTATTGAAAATATTTACAATGATTTACTCTTTCGGTCTCTTAATTGTAAATCAATTTAGTAATTTATAAAATCGAGTAGTTATTGTTACTTTTTTTTAATGTTGATTTTTTTACTTTTTTTTTGTGACAATCACATATTTTTAACTTTATTTACTTTTTTTTTTTAAAAAAAAATGCTCATTTAAATGATATGCAATGTGTTGCAAATGTTTAATTTAAATGAAATTTTCAACCAGAAAACTTATTTTTTCATAAATTATAGATGTTGAACTTAAATTATATAAACTTGATCATTTTTTCTTTTCTTTTCTTTTTTTGTTTATTTTTGTAGAAGTTTGAGAGTGATACGAATTATAATATTAAAAAAATTGATGATACACATATCGATATTTATGTTTACTAGTAAATACATTTTTATATGAAATGAACATTTCGACTTAAATTATAAGTTCGTTATTTAACATTTAAAACCGGACCCCCCTGAGTAAAATTCCTAAATCCGTCACTGGGTGGGGTGTTACAATTTTGTATCAGAGCCAGCTAGCGGTTCTAAATAAATAGTTTTATTATTTATATAGAAATCACAATTTAGTTCAAGAGAAAATACAATTTTTCTTTGTGAGATATTTATTTATTTATTTTTGTTATGTTTATAAGGGGTATTTAATCTATGTTTGGTAAAATTAGCTGATAAGCTAGCTTATAGCTTATCAGTAATTTTTGAGTTTATAGCTTATAGTTATGACTTATAGCTGAAAAGTTAACTAATATGTTAAAAGTGTTTGGTAAATTAGTTGATAAATTAGCTGAAATAAAAATTTCAACGAGCTTATTTGAAAAACTACTCAAAGAAGCTTATCATATAAGCTCGAACTTTTTAAAAAAGTTCGTTCTACCAAACGGATAAGCTAACCAAATAAGCTATAAGCTAGCTTATTTGTCTACCAAACATAACCTTAACAGTTAATGAGAAGACTAGTAAAAAAAGTTTAATTGATGAGAAGCCCAATAACAATTTTAATTTGGGCCCATTAAAACAGAGTGAGATGTTCATTTTTCTTCTCCATTCAATCTCCATTTCAGTCATTTTTCACACTTATTATAGAGATAATCCATACTAATTATACTTATCAGCAAAATTTTAGCCTAGGAAATTGCCTAGGCTGGGCTATATGTCAATCCGCCACTGACTGCATATGTTAGAGAGAAAGAGCCTTTGCTGTAAATCCTTGTTATATTAGCCGAACACTTTCTAGGGAGAGTGAGACGTATTCCTAAATCTTTATGTTTTGTATGAACTGCTTCCACAACTGAGTTAATGTTCATTGTTTACTTTTCATGTTTTGTATGAACTGCTTCCACAACTGAGTTAACGTTCATTGTTTACTTTTGAGGGTAATTCTATATTGCTCCAAAATTTAAAGCATTTTCTACATAACTAATAAGCTATCTATTATTGTTATATAAAGAGGCAATCTAAATAATCTTAAAATAGTATTTTAAAATTATTTGGTTTCCCGCCTACAATTTAGATTTACTAAATTAAGTAAATTTTTTCGAAAAAAATTGAAATATCACACTCTTTTAAACCAGTTTGAATTTTTTTGAAATTTGAAAATAAAATTTTGCCCATTCATCTAACTAAAATCCAGTTTAGGCTATGTTTGGTAAAACTAACTGATAAGCTAGCTGATAGCTGATAAGCTAGTTTATAGCTTATTTGTAATTTTAGCTTATAGCTTATGACTTATAGCTGAAAAGCTATCTTATATGATAAAAGTATTTGATAAAATTAGCTGATAAGCTAGCTGAAATTAAAAAATCAACTAGCTTATTTGAAAAGCTACCTAAAGTAGCTTATGAGATAAGCTCGAGCTTTTTAAAAAAACCCGTCCTACCAAACGATGTTTATTTGAATACGGAGAGCTTATAAACTAATCAAATAAGCTATAAGTTAGTTTATTTGGCTTACCAAACACAGCCTTAATGTGAATGAATACCAAACATTCGTGACTCTTTCCCATCCGCTCCATAAACCCTAACCCCCACCGCGTCGCCCCCTTGTCCTCCTCTGGTGCGCCGCCAGTGGACTCTCCACCATCAGCTCAATGGCCAGTGACAGGAGTGGTTCCAACGCCCCCTTCCCGGCCACGTTGCGCTCGAGAAGCAGTGGACGGCTTTCGGCACCATCTCCACGGCTCCGGTGGCCTGCGCTAGAATATTCGAGGCGTCGACTCGGAGATTGATTCCGTCATGAGGATTAGCCAGTGGAGCCTTCCGCTTATTCACCGGTCTCACCATGTACCATGTGATTTTATTTGGTTTTTTAGCTTGATTTTTGCTTTGTTTTTCTGTTTTTTTTTTTTTTTTTTTTTTTTTTTTTTTTTTNCTCTTTCAGCTTTTTTTTTTTTTTTTTTTTTCAATTTCCATTTGATTTTTTGATGTTGCTAAGATGATATTGGGAGCTTTTATATATTGCGTTTCATGGGAATCCTCGCCTTTTGAAGTAGTGTTTGTTTTCTGCCTTGAGATTTATCGGAAATTATATTGGGAGAGGAAGAGAAATTTTTTGTTCTTTTTGATGTTTTTGTTGCTAAATGCTGGTATTTTTAAATAGAGGTGTGGAGGAGACCAAAGGACAATTTGGTGTGTTGAGGAAACTGAACCACAAGCTTGCTGAGATTATCCTGGGCACGGTATTGCAGCTAATTCTAGGGTCGCCGACGATGCTTCCAACGGTGGATGTGCAAAGCTGGTTGCGCGTCGCTGGGGCCATGGCTGTAGCGGTCAGACTCGGCTGGAGCTCGCTGCTTGAATTAATTTGATTTGAAATTCTGAATTAGATAAATATGTATTCAAATTTTCGGCCATATTTATCTCATCAACGCATTTCATATATATTGATATGGTCATATGGAATCCTAAATTTGAACCGATCATTTGCCAACAATATCAACTACTATTTTTTTTCCTTCTAAAATATAGTTGTTGTTTATTTTATTTATTATTCAGTTTTGTATTTAAAAATGATTGGTTGCTTTCGATATTTGTAGGGCGAAGATGAAGCAACCGAGGAAGACAAAAACGACGAAAATGAATTTACCGATGAACAGAAAAAGGACGAACAAGATGACAGTTGAAGGAGGCTGAATGATTTTTGTGTTTCAATGATTCTAAGAGTTTATCTTTTATTTCCAACAAATAACTTTTGGGGTTTTATGAGCTTAAATTTATGTTGGGTCAAATAAAATGAGCAGCTAAAAGAAACAGTCATGTAGTTGTTTTTATATTGTGATGGATATTCTTATGTTTTATTGATGTGCATGTTTGTGGCTTTGTTAGGTAGTGGCTCTATTAGGTAGTACTTCATATTTTGGGTGGATATGCAATATAATGATTGACATAAATTTTGATGTAATACATCATGGTCTTATATATCATATCAATTGGAAGAACAGTAATTCTTACATAATTATTTGTCATTCATTATATCAAAAAATTATGTTAAAGTAGTTTTATCTTTTTTTTTTTTAAAGAGAAACTTAGTGTAGAAGTATATTCTTTTATCAGTTCTTCTGGGGGAATATTACAAAAACATGTTATTTACATGCTAGCAAGTGAAATATTAGGTTGAACATATATAGAATGGTGGATAGAATCTTATCTATTAATGTATAAAGAGACAATTATATTTATTTGAAATAGTAACTAAAAAACAACAATAAATTATTTGGTTCCCGCTTAAAATATTTACTAAATTGAGTAATATTTTTTCCCAAAATTTTAATAATCTCGCCTATGTGATATCTTTATTGTTTTTGAAAATTTAAAATGTAAACATTGGTTCAGTTTGGAAACAAAATCTGCCCTAATTTTGTATCTATCAGATATATTTATGCTATTTATTTTATTAAGCTCCGATTATCTTGCGAATCAAAAAGTCTGAATTTTTGTTAATGAGAACTATCAGTTTACTGCAAACTTTTTTTTTTCTTGCCAATAAAAAATACGAATTTAGTTAATTTCAACAAAAGATTACCAATTATAAAAAAAATACGATTTTGTCAATAATAAAATATAATTACACATATAAAACTCTTTTTTTTTTGTTCATTTTTTGTTCATAACCACAATAAAAATTAATTTTAAACCTATTTATCATTGAAGTCCATAAGGTAGCACAATTTAAGTACACTACAGTTAGAAAAGTACATTTTATTTGCATATAAAATATTAGATTTTGATTTTTTTTTTCAATACAAATGTTAAAATCTAATTCCATAAGGTAGCACAATTTAAGTCTTTTTAAAGCTCCAAATGATAGCAATTTGACATTATTATACTTCTAAAACAGATGCCTAGGTGTAGTAAAACTCGTTTGCACGATTTTCATACCTAATTAACAATTCGACAATTGAAATTTTTTTATAATTTCACCAACTAAAAATCAGATATGTAATAATTCTAAAATAAGTATAATTTGAATATATTGAAAATCGTATTGATAATAATTTGACAAAAATAAAATTCTAAAAGAAAAGTCCACTACAGTTAGGAAAGTCAATTTCACTTGCAAAAAGAAAAATGATTACGATTCTTCTCATATTGATAGTAATTTGAAAAAACTAAAATTCTAAAAAAAAAGTCCACTACAGTTAGAAAAATAAATTTCATTTGCATATAAAATATTAGATTTCAATTTTTTTTCAATATAAATGCTAAAATCTAATTCCATAAGGTAGCACAATTTAAGTCTCCAATTATTTCGTGGATTGGATTTCACTTGACTATGTACGGTTCCATTGCGTGTGCTCGGGGTAGAAGTTTTGTATAAATGTATCGCCATGCTATTAAGTATTTTGATTTAAGTTCTTTTCTTTCTAAGAGGTGGAATAGAATAACCCGGTTGAAGCGTAATGATCATACGTCTGTAATGCATTGTATGTCCCATAATAGATCCCATTCTTCGANTTTGTAATATACATGCTAAAATCTGATTCCATAATACAAAAAATATATCCAATTTTAGTTTATAAAATCATTCCATATAAATGATATCGTATTTTATTGTTATGATTAAATTTTAATGTTTTTATTTAAAGACTGTACACAAGAGTTTGTCCCACAATCAACTCGATTATTGATAATTGGTGGTACCTTGTGTGCTAAGGTGCAATAGCAAGATGATGAGTGAAGATGGCGAGATGCATTTCACCAAGTGCACCCATACACATGGTATTGCACAGTTAGAATATTTTTTTTTCGCAATCTTAAATAATTTTTAATTAATTATTATATTATTTGGTACTTTATGACATGCTTTTCGTACTTATAAAGATACAAGATTCAATTTGGATTTGCTGATGGTTTTGCAAATAGCACTTTATATGTTGGGGTAGAGAGTGTGAACGGATGATTGACAAATTTTGTGAGTTTCTAAAATGTGAATATTATGCGTTAAAGGTGATTACTATTTAATAAAAAATTATCAAATACTTAAACTTTTACCAATCAATAACGTTGTGTATAGAGAAGTGTTTAATAACATACTATTTTTTATAATTTGTATTTCTCTATAGAAACATATTTAAAATAAAATTAATAAAAAAAGGTTTGAGGAATAAACCCACGTACAGCGCACGGGAAGTACATTAGTTATTATTAATATAAATAGTATTTTAAAAATGTCATAGAATGTCCTTTTATCGTTCCGCTTAGATCCTGAGACGGCATAATCCTATGGGAAATTTTCATGTATACTTACCGTTTTTTAAGTAATTGCAACATTACCATCCAAACCAATAAAATTGTGTATATACCTAAGAGATAAAAAGTAATTATATTCATGCCTAAAACAGTTACAAGTAAGGTGAACAACCATTCCATATTTGTAGCGCACAATTTAAGGATTCAAGATGGAAAGATATTATATTTGAATTTAAAGTCATAATCATCGTTGAAACAGACGGAAAAGAAAAGGAAACATGCCGAAAATATACTGGACATGCGTCAGCACGACCCCGACGAGGAGTGTCCCCAGGATGTGAGATTGCATCCTGACTTTAAATCTTTAACGGCAGAATATACCGAAAATATACTGATAATATACTGTCGAACGTCTTCCTGTTAATGTCATGAAAAAATATACTGATAATATACCGAAAATTTTTAATCGATAGGTGTATGGAATGATTATATCTGTACATATACTTTACATCGTAACATATACTGTTCATATACCACAATACAGAAAAAGTCTGGTTCATGTATGGAATAATTATATCTCCAAAATAATATGAACAACTTTGATCGACAGGTGCATCCCATAATTGTGTTTGGAGTGGGAAATCATGTTTTCATGTAATAGAAGAACAAAAAAGAAAAAATATAATAGATAGAGAGGTATATTTCTTGATCGGAATCATGTTTTCATGTAATATGTTTGGAGTGGAAAATCATGTTTTCATATATACCGTACATATACTGCACTCGTCGGGAGAAAGCAAAGTCATATATACTGTACATATACTGTACATATACTCCAATCCAATGTCTACAAATTTCAACGTAATGACTAATCTACACACAGTCCAAAACCCTAAAAAATCGAAGCAAAATTCAAATTTTCTGCAACCAACCATTCATCTCCCCCGATTGTGGAGACGCCGAAACCCTCTTTAGAGGACGTCGTCGCCGGCGGTAATTGAGGAAATCATGCTCCGGAATATATTCATCTTCTCTCTCGTCGACTCCATAGAAAAAGATTCTCGCATCGCGTACATGTAGATGACGACCGCGGGGATGGCTCGGTAGACGATCTCGTCGAGGGGTAGGACTCGGTGGAGGACGGCGTTGAAGGGGACGTACTTGACGGAGAAGCCAGGCGTGGCGGCGGACTTGTGCGAAGAAGATAGAGAGAGTGCCGTGTGTGAAGAAGAGAGAGCGGGGGGAGGGGGAGGAGAGAAGCGTAGTTGATGGAAGTTACCATCTAAATAAGAAATCAGTTTTTGGTAACTGATGGACTCTCATCCTATTGAGGCTTCCAATATAACATGGCCCGAAAAACAAATATATAGCCCACTGGAATGGGCCCAACCCTAAACCTACAGTCCTATTACCGCCAATTCCCGGAAAGGTAACATTTAGTAATTATTAATTAATGTATATGAACCCCTTTTCCACCCTCTAATCACCGTTCAAAGTTTCAAAATACACAACAAGCGCAAACTAAAACCCCCCATTTGAAATCTTGAAGAATTCTCACATTTTTATGCTTTTCTGTAAAATTTACTCTCACATTTTTCGCATATCTGTGTAGCTACATGAATCTTCTCAAGATACGATCACTCGGATTGAGGATTTTCAGCTATGGCCGGAATTTGTGCGCGGTGCTTTAATCGAGGGGTGTCGACATTTCGTTTCAAGAGGTGCCGTGATGGTCCTTTCTTCCATCGCATTCCCGGGCCTCTTGTGTTGAACCCTTTCAGAATGGAGATCGAAAAATCTATGGCTTTGCTTCAGGTTTTCACCTTGTTGATTATTTTTTTTTTTAAATTCCATTTGTGTGTCTCTTACTGGAAAAATGTTCCTCTCGAGTCTTTCATTTGCGTCTCTTTATGTAGATTCTTCTTCTCCAAATTCGAGCTCAGGTTTGAGTTTGTATTGACATCCGTTTTCTGAATTTTCGATTTGAACCATTTGGGTTATTCTTCTGGCTCTTATATTTGAGTTTCTTGATATGGGTTTCGTCTCTTGAACGTACTTTTGTTGTCTCTTCAAATTCTTTCTGTTCATTTATATTCCTTTTTCTTTTCTTGATTTTAGTTGATGGGAAATGAGGGCTTGACACCATCTGCGGATGAGGAAATCAGGAGAAGCATTGTTGTCGACAAGCTCAGAGAGGTGTTCTTTCCTTTATTCTTAATGTGAATTCTGATTATGGGATGAGTTCGTTGATGCATGTTATTATTTGACACCTTTTAGTATGTTTCTGTGATATGAACTTTAGTCATGAATGTGCTAGGTTTATCAGTCAAATAAATAAAAATATTGAAAATATATTAATGGGATCTTCATCGGCTAGCAATGGGGAATCCTCAAATTCAGTTTAAGGATATGAATCTCTGGATCCATTGGCAACTTAAGGGTGACTAATTTTTGAGAAAAATTTATGTTATCTATGAGTATAGACACAGAATAATATTTTTATCCTAAACGTATCTTTGTCCTGTCAATTTTTTACATGCATAGTACCATTATGTCTCATTCTAAAGATTCATTGGCACTTTAGGTATCAAAAGAGTTCTTTTATTTTGCGCTACACCATGTTTACTTAAGATTTTTCAACCCATGAAGAACTTCGAGCTCAGAACAGTTATCATGAATTATATCAACAACACAGCTGATAGGTCTTTAATTTCTTGAATAGCCACATGAGATGAACTTGATTGATAGTAAATGAGTAATGGCTATCCTCCAACAACAGGGATGAACAGAAACTAATAATGTGCTCTTCTTAACCTTTAGCTAGTAAGAGACAGAATGTGCACAGTTGAACATATTAGACGACCAGCACTACTTTTTTTTTTTACCCTTTCATGGTATTTCGGTCTTTCCTAGGAAATGTTAAATTAAAAGAGCTCTATACCTCCAACACAAGTTTTCAGAGCAGTCTCTAAGATTGGAGTTTATTTTCTTTTGTGTAGATTGTCATGGTGTGGGCTAAGAGGGTTGCTTTTCAGCGTCGATTTCCAAAGAGTTTCATTAGGGCTGCTTCAGCAACAGTCCTAGTATATGGTTCATATGGCCTCGGTGTAAGTAAAGGTCCATCCCATTATAGAGCTAGGGACAATTGTAGAGCTGGCTTTTGGATTAAAAAACCTCCCATTATAGCATTACAATTACAAACAGCTTTCTTTAGGTTTGAATATGGTACTACAAACTTACCTTAAAAACATCTAAGTTCAGCAAATGAATCCACCTTCCTCAATTCTGACCTCTTGTTATCTCTTATATGGTATTATTATACATTTTGGCTTTAACTGGATGCAGGTGCACAATTATGAGTCTGACATAGACGCTTTGTGTGTTGGTCCATGCTTTGCCACTATGGCAGTAAGTCCATCTCGTTTCCTTTACATAGCAAACTATGCAATATTACATTTTTCTTTTTTTTTTTTGTAACATCTGCAGGAGGACTTCTTTATTGTTCTGAGGAATATGCTCGCGAGTAGACCTGAAGTAACAGAGATCTTATGTGTCACGGATGCTAGGGTTCCCCTAATGCGGCTCAACTTTGACGGGATCTCAATTGATCTTACATTTGCCAGGCTTAATATAATCACTGTCCCTGAGGTAGAAATTTTTCTGCTCATTCAATCGAATCAGTTTTTTGGAGATAATTATGAAGAGGTCTTATTAATTAAAGAATACCCAGTTATTATCTTTTAAAATTTTTACAAATCCAGCCTTATTCCCCCTTAGGAGTGCTGACTAATGGAAAGGGTGCTATATTCTTATACAAGTGTTGTTGTTAGTCAGCAGGTTGTTTTCTTACAAAATAAACAAAAAACTCTTGCTTTGTGAAATGTTCAACATATTGTTGTAACTTGGTTTGATCTTAATTCTATCATAAATAACTCATTTTATGCTTGTCATGTGATGCGCAGAATGTGAATTTACTCGACCCGTTATTTTCGTCAAATGTTGATGAGATCAGTTTTAAGAGCTTGTCAGGTGTTTGTGCAAATATGCGCATTCTTCAACTTGTGCCAAACCTTGAGGTAAATGCTTACGTACTTTTTTCTCCCAGTTGAGAAGGAATGGCCTTTTTATTATGCTCATTTGTGCTGCTAAACGTAGTTGTAAAATGACTGGAATATCTTTCTTATGACTTGTGAAAGTTTGTGGTTTATGCTGTTTTCTTGCAAGTGAGAATGTTCGATCTGTTTGTTTCCTATACAGGGTAGCTACTTATTCATTTGTTCATTCTTTCCCAGTCTTATCTTCTCATGCTTCTTCTATGATCAGTATCATCTTTATCTTTGCTTTTTCTTAGCAGTCAATTTTGATTGTTCTACTATAATTCAGCTTTTATACACATAGAGTTCTATCATTATATTCATTGAATTCTGTTCTATTTTGACTTCATCTTTGTGAAGGTATACCGGTCACTGTTGCGCTGTGTCAAATTCTGGGCAAAAAGGCGAGGCATTTATGGAAATGTAAGAATTTGGTTTCTCATATGATAAAGCGATCATTCCAGCATACTGTCCTTTTATTTGTATTGTGTTGACTGATAAACTTCCATGATTTAATTTCAAAACTATTCTTCTCAGGTATTCGGATATTTTGGAGGGATACATTTGGCTGTTCTTGCAGCATTTGTTTGCCTAAAGCAACCTACTGCCAATTTGAATGTGTTGCTTTTTAGTTTCCTTCAGACATTCGCGTTCTGGCCTTGACCCACTTCTGTGATTTTGGAAGAAGGTGTATTGCCTTTGCAATCAGACAGCATTTTGATGCCGATTCAAATGCCGTGTAGCCCAAATGAATACTGCTATTCTCACTTTACCAGAAGCACGTTTAACCGGATCAGAAAAGAGTTTCTGCATGGATATGATATATCAAAGGCAGTACAGTACAGCTTATTTATCTAAATTTAAAACAAACTTGTTGTTTTCTAAATGTTGTGACTTTTTCTTCTTCTTTGGTGCTGCAGGATATGATTCGGCAAGATTTCGACTGGCAGCCTTTATTCGAGCCTTTTCCTTATGCGAAGAAGTACAGCCGTTTTCTCAAAATATGTCTTTCATGCTCAGAACAGAGTGAGTTAGGTGGGTGGGAAGGCTGGGTGAAGTCTCGAATCCATATTCTTCTGCTCAAGGTATTTTTTTTCCTTATCTACGTTTGTTTAACCGTACGCTACATTTTTATGTTATTTATTTTCTTTTTTTGATTTATTGCACAGTTGGAGGAGATTCAGGGATTTTGTGATCCGAATCCTACAGAATATGTCGATGTTGATATTTTGGTGCCGAATGTGATTTTCTGCTGGGGACTGTGTCCAGGCAGGAGCAGTTCTATCAATATCGAGTCCATTAAGAAAGATTTCACGAGGTATATTTACAATGAGGCATTTACAGGAAAGATTGATTTGAGTGTGGTGAAAGCAAGTGAATTTCCAAAGATGAAAGCTGATGCTGGAATCTCCAAGAGGCATATTCCTGGATATTTTGTTGTCGGCCAATGAGAATTCGGGTTTTTTCTGAATTTCTTCTGGAAGATCTCTCTTTTCTATACCATTTTTTTTTTTTTTTCCCCTTTTTGTTGAAATATGAAGGAATCTGTGGATAATATATGTTCAGCTGTCAGATGTTTTCTGTATCATTTTTTCTTTTGTTGAAATATATGAAGCAGCGTGTAGGTAGGTAGTTCACAAATATCATGGCTTATAAGATGGCTAGATAAGACAAATGATCTTTCATAATTAGTGATCTTTCAAGACTTGAAACCTTTCACTTTTACAGTATCAGGCTATTAGTAACAGCATTCCTCATGAAAAAAGAAATTGACACAAAAACAAGGCTCTCCCTAAACTATGGATTCATAAAGTACAACCACAGAATATGAAGAAATAACAAAGCATAGTAGTCAACGCTAAGGACTCACACATGTAAACTAGAGTCCATAATGCATAGTCAACCGATATATCGAGCCACCGGAAATTAGTCCACCCTTCGTTGAGTACTTGGGGAAAACTCAGCTCCGGCCACCGGAAAATGGACCACAAATTCGAAAGATCGAATTCCGGCCACCTGAAAGCCGATGTGTACCACCTTAATCCAAGGCACATGCCCAGCCAAATCAAACTAACTTTACTTCAATTTCTAAATATTTTCTCTTTTTTTTAGGGAGAAGATTTTGCTGTGTGTTGTAATAATATTCATATCCTATGAGCTGTCATGGAATGAGAGGAGTTGATAAATGTAGACCAAATATTTATAACTAATGAACAATTTTGTGGTGATGGTGATTTGAAGTGAAATCTTAATCTGATAAGGGTTTCTAATATGCTACTACACGTGTTTGTGACTTGGTAATTTAATAATTTGGATAACGTCAAAAAAGTGAGAAGTGTCATGTTATTGGGTCTAAAAATCAGAGTAGTTCGTAATCATCCAATGTGAAAATTGATTTGAAATGAATTTCATCTATCATTTCACCGCAATATAAATATCATACATACATACACCACATACACCACATAATAATATAAAAATAATAATAAAAAAAAATCATACATACACCACATAAAAAAAGGATATTCAAATATTTTTATTATATGCGACGTAGCATCCATAAAATTAACACGATTCAACTTGGTTGCTATAAAAATAAATGATAAGAGTCTTCATATTACCGAAGATCAAACATAATAATATTAAAAATTAAAAAACTCAAAACGAGTATACTCGAAGTGTCCACAAACACAGCTAGAACCATCATAAAATCTGATCCACCCCTCTTGAAATTACACAGTCAACTAAAGGGGTACAAACACTCGCAAAATAAAATAACTCCAAAACGGAGACAAAACAACTCCACAAATGAGAGTAAAACTAAACGCAACAAGACTACAACAGAAAAACTATATAAAAAAAAATATTTAATATCTTTATATTATTTTTGATTGAAAATTACATAATATATATATATATATATGCATAAAAAATATATAAAAAATAATATTTTTTTATAAATTATAAATTTGACCCATGAACTAAATTGCAATATATTTAATTTTTGAAATTTACAATTAAGTCCTTGTGGCTTATAAGATTTTTAAATGATGTCCCTATGTCAAAAATTCAATTCCCGTCGTCCCCTCCGGATTATCGTCGACCTTATTCCCGGTCAATTGTCGCTCGACTTTCGGCTCCCAGCCGCTCTTCGCGAGATTCTCCCCCATCCTCCCGCAGCCCGCGGATCGACGAGTTTACGGCAGTTCGAGGAACAACTTATCAGTTTTCAACGTTCGTGGCCTCCTCATGCCTTCAAGATGCAGCTAAGGAACTCCGACGATATCTCAGTCGGAGATGCACCACCAGATTCTGGCGATGTTGTGGCCTCCTCACCCATTCACATGAAAACCGTGTGGATTCTAGAAAAGTGGCTGGCAAATGTGACAACGGCAAGATGTGGGAGGCGAACAGACAGTGTATGCATGTGTTGTGTGTGTGCGTGAGGTGTGTATTACGTGTGTGCATGTTGTATGTGAAAGAGTATGCTGGGGTGGAGTGGGGTGGGTCGACTAGGTGCTGATGGGAGATAATGGGTTTGGATAAATGGGTAGTTGGTGTGGGCCCAATGGTATATATAAGAAAATGTCAAATTTATCTATAGGTATAAATTGAACTTTTTTTTTTAGCCGTTGGATTATCCGATCTAATGGCTATGATGTATTATTATTTCTCAACACAAACAATTTTCACCGAAACGTGACCCTATATCATATTAAGAAAATCTGCACAAGTATGAAATACGAATTGCTTTTCTCGGATTGCTTTTATGTTTGTACCTGAGCTAGTCTATAAAGATGCATATTTTTGCTCATTCAGAAAACATCATCATTGCCCACAATTTATTCTTTTATCTTTCGTAAAACAATTAAAATTGTTTCCGCTAGAAAATGAAAGCAAGCAAAACCTTCACCGAAACGAAAACACAAAACATAAATCACCGCATGTTGTCTCCAGGAACACATTCAACACATGAGATAAGCTCAAGGAAACTAGTTAAATAAACTTCTTTCATGAAAAGAGAAGCCCATATATTGTGTTTTTCTACACACCAACTTACTTTATGGTCTGATGCTGAACTACATGGAACAAAATACGAGTGTCTCACCACCTGATACAGTGCATCAACTAGTAGATGAACCGAATCAGCATGTCTCGTAAAAAATCCCTTCTCCTGGATAAGGACTCTTCAGAAAATATGGACAATATCATAAGCAAATCTTTGTCTCGTCAAGGAAAGGATACCGAGAAAGGAAAATCACTCCTACGAATGGCAGCATGATATGTGAAGGCAAATAAAAACATTTTAAGTATTCAGAATGCCTACGAGGCATGTCATGAGGTGAAACCAAATTAGGTCCAGTAAATGGTAAATGGTTAAATTTCAAATAAGTAATAACATATTTCTCAATATAGCCTGCGCGGCAGGAAATAACTTTCTTTAGTTTCAAGCACCAACATGAAGGTATGGAGGCTGAGTGAAGGTAGTTTAAGATATTGATATAAGGGAAAAATATATAATCTGCACCATTGTCTAAACGGAAGCATATCTAAAGAGAATAAGGATACGTCCAGAACAACACGAATGACTGCAAGAAAGTGGACAAAATTAAAAATATTAGCTATAATATTGTAAAAATAGGAGAAACATGAAACAATTTCAATGAAGCAGATACACAAAATATAATGGTCAAAGAAAGTAAGAAACACAGAGAGAGTAGATAACAACCATTAGATAATATACCGTTCCAAATCTCTAACTTCTCATAGACAGATTTCGGTATCTTGCATAATAATAAAATAGGGTTAAAGTAATTGTAATGGTGAGAAAACCCTACCACTATTAATTTTCATTCAAAGCTTCTCATGCTTGACGATCCAATAAGAAAATCTTTTTTAACCCTTCAGGAAACTCAGTTCTTTATTTTTCAAATTAGTCAGTTCATATTGTAGCAGCAATGACTTAAAAGCTCAATGTTTTGTCAACAGTAAAATACTTTCTGTTTCTGACACCATAAGGCCAACAATAACTACAACAACAACACATAGCCTTTTAGTCCCAAGCAAGTTGGGGTAGGCTAGAGATGAAACCCAAGAGAACCAATGGTAAGAGAAACACAAAAAGGGCTCGAAACAAATGGAAGAGATTGGAACAAAAGAGAAAGGAGAAAAAGTCACGGTTCTGGCACGTTGATTGCTAACCTCTAAGCACTCCTACCCACCGCTAAATCCTTGGAGATATTCCAACTTTAACAATAACTATCCAATTAAAATTTCTAATTCACTAGTGTAACAGTATCTGTATCATAGAAAAGAATTACAACATTATTGACAAGTATAAGCACCACTACAGCAAAAAATAAGGGAAAAGAAAAGAAATTGGCATGCAAATTTTAGCTCTCACTTGAACACATCATTTTTAAACTCCAACAATCAAGCTAAGTCCTTGCTTTAGTAAGTATTGTCAATTAAATTCTCCGCGAAACCAAAAATCCCTTTCGGATCATGCATAGAAAGAGAACTCAGACTACATGAAATAATCTCAAACTAAAGTGTTTCCCATATTGGGTAGTTACTTGCAACTCAAATCATACAAAGAGTGAAGTAAGCTAATGTTCAATACATATTCAATGATTGGCAGAAAGAATAAAAAAGATAAACTCATACCAGTAGTCCGCCTAGGATTCCATCAAATACAATCCGATTCCAGCTATCGAAGTAAGAATGAACAGCAAACCCGGTCTTAGCAGCAAGGCCCACAGTTGTAATAGCCATGACAATGAAATAGAAGATAAACCCCGTCAAGCCCGTGAACCCCAAAATTCCCGCAACAACTCCACCAATGATAGACATAAACGTGCGGCTGAAGCACAAAGAAAAAAAGGAAGTCTGTAACTGTTTATTCCTATTATCTATCTTTAAATCTGGAGTTGCTGCAGAAAAAACTCTGATTCATAAAAACAATGGCAGATCCACGACAGACCTGTAATTAATAATTCTCGTATTGTTCTGCATATTTTCGACATTGAAAGTGGATATAGCATCCGAGCCATCACTTGACTTCTTCTTGAGCATGCTCGAACCCTCGTGTACCGCCATGCTATTGATTTCTCCTAATTTCTAAGAAATCTTCTGTATNNNNAAAAGCAAGCATTCAAACAAACAGTGAGGCTAATGGAAAGCAGGCAAGCTCCTCAAACCCAACAATAGCATAAATCTACACAACCCATCACTACAGACATGGTCACATCCAATACGATTGAAAACAATTACAACGATAACAATAATTAAACGATAGTAACAAAGAAAAATACTTCGACTGGTACTTGAAGAACCACACTCGACTAATAAAAGCACACAAAATTCATATGAAATACAGAGGTTAAACAGATCTGTGCAGAATGAGGCAGCTTTATAGCTTCAGTGAACAATAAAAACCAGAATTTTGAAGTAAAAATTTCGCGAAAAAGAAACTGATTTTCTGCATAAAAGGGCCTAGCTTACCTGTGATGTAGAAGGTGGAAAACCAAAGAGATCGGGTTCAGTTCTCCGTAATCGTTTTTCCTTTTTGTAGAAAAAGGATGAGTTGCAGAGGAATACAGGTTAGCGCACTCCTTTTGTAATCGGATATGGAAAAAACCCGGAGCTACTGGGCTTTCAAAGTCCAGTTAGTTTAATAGGCCTAAATGAGGAATCAAGCCCAACAGGAAATAATGAGCAGGTTGGAGATAATGACCCATTATGACAACTTATAAATTTTAGTTATGTTTTTGTATCCTGTTTCA